GAATGTATGAGAATCCAGGTGTCTTCTTTTCAGCTAGACAATAAAGAGATTTGATGTAAAGGAATGCTATTCTTCTCACTATTTTGTTTTGGGAATTAGAGCTACTTTCCTTAAAAAAATGTTAACATGTAATGGGCTTATTACTATTTTAAAGTGAATGATAAATGATTTTTAAATGCTCTCAGTTCGAATTTTGCATATGGTAAGTACCAAGTGATAAAATCTATTGAGCAAAAGCTCTTTGGGGTTTACCATAATTTATCTTTAAGATTTATTTATTTATTCTGGAGAGAGAGAGAGAGCGCGAGCAAGCAGGGGGAGGGGCAGAGGGAGAGAGAGAATCCTGAAGCAGACTCCCCACTGAGCATGGAGCCCTACATGGGCCTCAAGGTGGGGCTTGATCCCAGAACCCCAAGGTGCCCCAAGGTGTACCATAATTTTTAAGAGTGTAAAGGGGTCCTGAGAACAAAGGGCTTAAGAACCGCTGGACCACAGGACGACACCCAGACTGGTGAGCCAGGTGTTTGGGACTTTCCACCATCCCACTCCATCCTGTCTCTGCAGGCTCACTTAATATCACCATCTCTGAAGTACCCCCAGGTCCCAGCCTAACCACCTTACTGATTTCTGCACATGTTCTGGACTTTTCGGCCTAACTTTGTGCATACCATTCCTTTACCTGGAACATGTGCTTGTCTGGTGGTTAGAGGGTCAGGGCTATCATCTTAGCATGAAGGCCTGAGAATGCAGAAACTCACTGAAACCCAACTTCACAGTTTGTTTATAGATATATTCTGCATATTATTTTCCTTAATTAGGATTCCTGGAGTCCCAAGGACCCAATTTTCCCTTTGTGTGTGTATATATATATATACACACGCACACACACCTATGTGCATATGTGTATGTATATACATATACATACATTCACACCATATATACCATATATATATATTTTACCATCTGAGGGCCAAGTGTCCTGCCATAAACTTATGGGATTTTTGTAAATATTAGCTGACAATTTCAAGTGATATCTGTGGGATTTTATGATCCAGTGCAGATTAATCAGAGTATTTAGCGCCTGCTGTGAGCAGAACACTTGGCAGTGGGGGCAGGGGGCTAGGGAGGTGATCCTTGCTTAAGGACCTGCACAATGGTTGGAGACACAGGATTCATAGCCAAGGAGCAATTAAATAGGACACAAGAAGGTATGTAATCAAAGGGATAACCAGGTGCTGTAGGCCTTTAGGGATGGGGAGGTGGAGGCAGGGGTGGGTGCACGTGTGTTTACAGTGGCTGGAAAAATCAAAGAAGGCTTCTGGGAGGAGGCAGGGACTTGCTGGGGACTGGTTAAGTAGGCAGGGTTTAGTTAGAGGTCAGCAAGGCAGGATTTCAGGCCAGCGAATAAACATGAGGCAGAGCAGAGAGTCAGAAATGAGCACAGCATGTTCACGGCCTAATGAGACTGCTGACCATGGTGAAGGTGAATGGTGCGAGGTGATAAGGTTGAAAGCTAGTCAGAGGATTTTAGCTTGGACATGGAAGGAGGGAGGAACCTGCTTTTTTTGGTTAGGGAAGTGGCATGGTGTTTTTTTGAGCACAGGATGGGTTATTACTGAAGGAGGAATGGAGGTAGGGCATCTAGTTAGTGATCTAGGGGTGTGAAGTGACAAGGCTCTGGACTGGGGTATCAGCAATGTTTTTTAAAAAATGAAATACATGCAGGGAGCCACTTCCAGAATGCCTGCTCAGTGCCTTTAAATGGGAGTGTTTTACATATGAGGGCATGGGGATTAAAGCCCCACAATGCGTGTTCGTGACATAATTGGGTCTTATCACATGTGGCTGATCTGGAGCTGAAATCTTTTATTCTAGCCTTTCTTGGGTCTTACGGTCTCAGCCACTAAATAATCGTGTGGTTTTGGGCAAGTCATTTAACTCCTTGGTGTCTTCGTTTTTTTTCATCTGTAAAATGAGGGTGTTAATAGGCCCTGTCTCCTGGGTTTGTTATGAGAATTACATGAGTTCATACATGTAAAGTGGCTATACTGGGGCCTGGAACATAGAAAACCTTTAAAAAATATTAGCTATTATTTATTTATTCATCATTCATATTAGCATGGGAATATAAATATTTAAATTACCCGGTGGGCCAAAGCATTCAGAGCTGTGCTGAATCAAGTGCCCCCCCCCCAAAAAGCTGGCTAGAGACATTGTGAAGATGGGACTCAGAAGCTAGGATGGAACAATGTTAAAAATTCTAATTCCACAAACTCCTTAAGATCTAAAGTGTAAAACCCGGAGACCCGGCTCCCACTGCAGAGAAGATAAATCTGGATTTCTTAGCGAGCCAGCAAGGCTTCTTGACTGGCTTTGTGTCGTCCCAGCCTCCTTCCTCCTGCAGCCTGGGAGGGCTGCCGCTCAATCCCACACTCCTGCTTCTTTTCAAACACATCCCATCCTGCACTTCAGTCTCCCCCGCCTTCACTCTTTCCCCAAAAGCTCATTCCTCTTACTCCACTTGTGCCCAATAAAATTAGTCACCTGTTTTTAATAGGCCTTATTTTTTAAGAGCAGTTTTAGGTTTACAGAAAAATTGCAGAGAAAGTGCAGAGTTCCCATATACTCCCTCCCCCAACTGTTTCTCCTATTAGTAACATCTTGGATGAGTGTGGTACATTTGTTACAACTGATGAGCCAATATTGATACGTTGTTATAAGTACATTGTTATATAAGTCCATAATTTACATTCGGGTTTACTCTTTGTGTTGTACATTCTATGGGTTCTGACAAAGGCATAGTGTACTCTATTCATTACAGTATCATACAGAATAGCTTTGAGGCCCTAAAATTGCCCTGTGCTCCCTCAGTTCACCCCTCCCCTTTCCTCCCTTCATGGATTTTTAAGAATCAGAATGCCATGTCTTCTGTGAAAACGTCTCAAATGAATCTCTTTCATGCTTGCAGAGCCTTTTCTTCATACCTATTTCAGCTCCTATGTTCCACATAGGATTGTAGATGGACACACACTCTTCTTCCTTCACTAGGTTGTATCTCCATGAAGGAGAGAAGGTACCGTGGATTTGGCCTGACAACACCTAGCCTAGACCCTGTTCTTAACAGGTGCCTTATACACGCTGGCTGACCTGAATTGTGAGCAAGTATTAGGGTGGGATTTTGCAGAACACAGGCAAAGCTTTAGACATTGAAGTCTGAAAGTGACAGGTAAATGTGTGAGGCACTCATTTTGTCAGCACTCTTGTGTCAGCACGCAAGGTCTGTGGATGGGGAAGTTCTTTGAAGGCAACCATCTTCTGTCCCTTCAGATTTGGGCTCCGGAGTAGCCTTAGGTGAAGTAGTCCAGGCCGGCTTTATATTACTGCTGGGCCACAGAGCTCTTCCCCTGCCTCTCCACCTCTCCAAAAAGAAAAAATGAAACAACAAAAGAGGAGATGGGGACAAGGAGCCCGATTGTTTTCATCCTTCCAGTCCCCGTGCCCCTCTCAGGAAGGCTCCTGGAAAGCCTTATGTTTGGTCCCCACTCTCTCTCCCCAGGTGGCCCCCAACAATGGATGCCCAGCGTGTTTTCTTTGGCCAGGGAGCACCTTCCCATAAACGCTTCTTATTTTCTTAAGTCACGCTGAGATTTTTGCTTTAAAGACACTGTTCTCAAACGTTCTCAAATGCTGTAGGAACATGCAGATCGGAACAAAAGCAAATAAATCGAATCTTGTGAAGTAAAGCAGAAGCCTTTCTCCAACAGCCAGCACAACGCTAAATGAGAAATATCAGTCATCCACTAGGTACAGTATATTCCCCTCTAGACAGGAGCTGCCGTTTGCAGAAACCCCCACCCCAAATACGCGACAGTGAAGGTACCATAGAAGGAACTACTCTCCTCAGCTGCCCCCCGGAGTCAGCAGTTTTAGCGCGCTACCTATTCCTTTAAGCAACACACGCTGTTTGAAAGACCTTGGCCTTTACTTCCTTGTACCTGCCTGCAAACACACGTGGTGGGGGGGAGGGAGAGAGAGAGAAAGTCCCCCCCTCACTCCCCGAATCTTTGAGCCCGCAGCAGCGCCAGACCCGGCACCGGTTAGTGGGGGACACTCTGGAAACCCGGTTAGATCCCAAGGTGCCGTTACCTGGGACAGTGAATGCTCTCGAGAGAGCAGGGCTCCCCCATCCCCCCGCAACCACAAAAAGCCAGAGGAGAGGCGGGGGCAGTCTGCCGGGCCGCAGAGCTCGGAGGGAGCCTGATGAGCCCCTCCACGCGGAGACGACCGCCCGCTTGCACCTGTGCTCCCAGGGGGCGGGGCCTCCTCCAGGTGTGCGGAGGAGAAGGACGCGGAGCGCTGAGGGCAGCGCGGGAGCCGAAGCGTCGTACTCTCCCGCTCCCCCCACCCCCCCCGCCCCGCCCCGCCGAAACGGAGGGGAGGAGCGGTTAATCCGCACCCCGCGCCCGCGGGCTCCGCAGGCCCCGCCCGCCTCAGTCGGCCGAGAGCCGGGAGCTCGCTGCGGCGCGCAGGGGGTTAAGCGGCAGCCGGCGGCCGGAGCGCGCTTAACCCTTTGGCGCCCGCGGGTCCTCGGAGCCAGGCGGGGTGGCGGTACCCCGGGTCCCACGCGGCGGCCACCTCGGGCGCGCGGGCCGAGCGGGGACAGCCCCGGGCCGGGCCCGGCCTCTGGGGCGCGGCGCGGCCCGTGGGAGGCTCGGCGGGCGGGGGGGAGGGAGGGACGGCGGCGGCGGGCGCGCAGCGTCGCCAGGGCGAAGCCGGCGTGCGGCGCGGCGCGGCGGGCGCGGAGCGAGCGAGCGAGCGAGCGAGCGCCTCCGTCCCCGGATGTGAGCTCGGGGCGCCCGCGGTCCCGAGCCAGCGGCGGCGCGGGCGGCGGCGGCGGCGGCGGGCACCGGGCACCGCGGCGGGTGGGCGGGCATGGGGGGCGCTCCGGGCGGCCCCGGCGGCCGGGCCGGCATCTCCGCGGCGTCCCTCCGCTAGAGGAGGGGACCAAGCCAATTCTCCTTTGCAGCAAAAAATTACATGTATATATTATTAAGGTAATATATACATCTGATCTTATTTTTTAAAAAAAGTTTATTTTGCTCCATTTTTGAAAAAGAGGGAGCGTGGGTGGCGAGCGGTTTTTACAAATTATTCTTATTTTCTGCTATCTGTCCCCGTCCCTCCCCACCCCCTGCTGAAGCGACAATAAGGGCAGGGACCGCGGCTCCTACCTATCGGTAACCCCCTTACCCGTTCCTTCCCCGCCCCAACGCCCAGCACCGTGCCCTGCACACAGTAGGCGCTCAATAAATGTTCGTGGATGATGATGATGATGATGATGAAAAACATGCACCATCAACGGCAGCAGCAAGCGGACCACGCGAACGGTGAGCAGCCAGAGCCTGGGCACCCGCTGCCAAATCTCATCCTTGTCATGGTCCTCCTCTTCCCACCCCCTCTTCCTTCCCACCCCCTCCCGTCTCTGATGCACTGGGTGGGTTGAGGGGGTTGGAGAGGATTGCTTCTAGCTCGGTGCCATCTACATAGAAAGGGGAGATGCGTGACAGCCACTCCGTTCTCCCCTTCAGGCCTTGAATGTCAGAGTTAATTCTGCATTTGTGGGGTGGGGGCGGCCGTGGAGTCCTTGGAGTACTGTGCCGCCGGAGGGGCGGCGAGCCGAGGTGATGCGGGTTCAGTGTCCTCGGGCTCAACTTTCCTCCAACGCTCCCGAGCGATGGAAGGGGGGATGGCTGTTAGTCCTCAGCCTGAGCCCCCTTTCCAGCCTCTTCTCGCCTTCCCCTCCTTCCCCGCCCCCTGGTCTCCAGTGGCATCCGGAAAATTCTAGGATTGCCCGGTTTCCCTCTTCGCGACGGTGGGTGAAGCACACCCCGCCCCTGGAGAGGGAGGCCGGGTCTCGGAATCGCGGCCAGGGGGTCGGGTGGAGCGTATTCCCGCTCCCAGCGCCGCTGTGCACACGTCGGTAACCTAGCAATGCCCGGGGAGTCGCTGCCGCTGTGGGGCTCCTCTCCCCAGCCCGGCCTGGGCACCACGTGCAGCCACCACGCCGGCCGAGCTGGGTCGAGACGGAGGCTGGAACAGCTTCTGGTCAGCCCTCCTACCTCCTCCTTGGAGGCCGGGGGCGCTCCACCCCCCCCACACCCCCCAACCTCAGTGGGCTCACAGCCTTCCCGCGAGAGCGCTTCCCAAGGGAAGGCTCTGCACGATTCCTCCCCAGCTCGGTCCCCAGCTTGGGACGGCTGCTGCCTGAGCACCCCCTCCCCCCACGCCGTGGCCCCCTTCTCAAGTTGCTGGGCAGGCCGACCTGTGCTTGCTTGGATTCTCTCTTGTTCTTAGCAAGAATTGGTTTTGCAAATGCCATCTCTCTACCTTTGCCACCACTCTTACTTTGACTTCTGGCTCAATAAGGAGGTTGTGACTCAAGGTAGGCAAGTGCCTGGGAGACCTGCTTGGGTGGTGGCCTGACCCAAAGTCAGAAGGGGCTTTGCACATGGAGCCCCCTTGGGGTTCTGCCCTGTACTTAGATGCCAGCCTGCACTTAGGTGACTCCTGTGTGGACCTTGAGGGCCCCTGGCATAATCCATCCTGTCTTTCCTAGGTGTAGGGGTGCAGGCTGTCTGCCTTGACGGTTTCTCTGCATGCTGGCTTGGCTGCTGCGGCTGCAATTTAAAATGCAAAAAAGCCCTAAAGATGTTTTCTGTTTTCGGAAGCCTGTGGAGGAAATGAGTCCCAAGCATCATGAATTTTCATTTGCAGGAAGTGTCAGTGCATAATCTGGATATTTGTTATGGGGCTTTTGGTATTGCCCTGGTGCCAGTGGAGGATTTTTTTTCTCCTATGCCGAAAAAAATGCATTTGTGGCTGTACAAAGATGTTGGAGTGACATCCTGAAAATGATTAAGACTATTGAGTTATTGGCACTGCCTTTTTTTTTTTTTTCCGCTGGTGATCGTGGTAGTTATTTCGGAGAAAAGCTATTGTGCCTATCTGTTAACTCATTAGAGATCCATGGGTTTTAAAAGTCAGAATAGGTGGAATAAATGTGGATGGCCTCAGTTTGAAGAAAGGCACTAGCAGAGTCCTTGTGGAGACGTGGATGTAGAGAGGCGCTCACCCCATTGCGCCGGTGGTCCTGTGGCGCTCAGGGCCCAGCACGTGGACTTCTTGCTCTGGCTGACCACAGTCCTGCTTCTGAAAAATAGGACACGAGGTTCAAAATGGAAACATGGGAACCATACCCTCCCCCCGTTATTGATGGGAGACACCTTTACTTTTTTTCCGACATTGGATTCTCATTGTTTATTTGTTTGTTCATTTTTCCTTTTCTCCTTCTTCCCAGAGGCAAACTATGCAAGAGGCACCAGACTCCCTCTTTCTGGTGAAGGACCAACTTCTCAGCCGAATAGCTCCAAGCAAACTGTCCTGTCTTGGCAAGCTGCAATCGATGCTGCCAGACAGGCCAAGGCTGCCCAAACTATGAGCACCTCCGCACCCCCACCTGTGGGATCTCTCTCCCAAAGAAAACGTCAGCAATACGCCAAGAGCAAAAAACAGGGTAACTCGTCCAACAGCCGACCTGCCCGCGCCCTTTTCTGTTTGTCACTCAATAACCCCATCCGAAGAGCCTGCATTAGTATAGTGGAATGGAAGTATCCTTTTTTTGGGGGGAAGCCTTTCTCATTTTCTCTTTTACCATCTGTTCTTTAAAAGGATCTGCTTTCTGAAATGGCACTTACAAAGTCGTAGCAGTCTGGAATGTGAGCAACAGAAAAGCTCTATGTAAAGGGTTTCATTGTATATACCTTCCTATCTCCTCAGGGTGCAGAGGGCTTGCTCTATGGGTGTATTTAGCTGTGTGTGTGTGTGTGTGTGTGTGTGTGTGTGTGTGGTGATGATGGAGGGAGGGGGTGACAGCCTGAGACTTCAAAGTGGTAGTTAAGTAGGGAACTGACCTTTGGTCATTTGGCACTAAATGGTTAGTTTAAGCCCACTATTGCTTTTGGGGCTGTGATATGCATCGAACCTATTGCAAATGAGGTATGCTGATTGAAGACAAAAAGACCGTATGAGACTTCGCTAGAAATAAATACATTTTTGACTTTTAGTGACATCTTCCCATTCCGATGTTTAGAATTTGTTTCTGAAACTCCCAACTACTGCTGAGGTTGCTTCTAGCTCTGACATTTGCTGATTCTGATTGTTCAGGTAGCTACAAATATGAACACTTGCTTCATAGGGAGGGAGCAATTTGCTCATCAATGCTATGACTTCCTGGAATTTCCTTTTGACATGTTCCAAAAAAGCATTTGAAACGTGAGCGTGAGGGAGCATTTGGAGGGAGAGGCTTGTGTGCGCCTCTCCTTCGTGAGCCCTTGTGAGTTAGAGAGCAGTCTGTCAGCGGGGGAATTTGCAGTTGCTGCCCTTATAAAACATTCTGTCTGTGTCCTTGGACTGGAGTTACATTTCTGGGTGTCTCCTTTGTATTTTTAAAACTGAACTCCAAATGCCCTAGGATGGTTGTTACGTCCCAGATCTTGGAAAACTAGGGTGCTTGGCCTGCTCACCCCCTTCCCCAAATCTGGAGGCCAGTCTCCAGTTGCTGCCACCCTTTAGAAAAGGTTGACTGAGGCCTCCTTTCTGAACAAATGGCTTTCTAATTAGTCAGATGATTCATTGGTCTGGGTAAAACAAAGCATTTCCTTTTCCCAGAAGTGTATTTGGGACTGACAGGAGCCTTAGAGTAGCTCCTGAGCATAGGAAGGAGTGTGAATGTTGGGCTTCCCCCACCACACCCAGGGTGAAGGGGCTCACGAGGGAGGATATTGGCCACCAGCTGGAAGGTGGAACCGTAAGTTCCCTTATAGCCTGAGTGCCTAGCGAGGCGGCTCTTTGCAGGCCTTCTGCTGTAGCTGGCTGTTTTCTGTGCTCACGGACACAAGTTAAAATGAGCTAACTTTGCCTAGAAAGGTTTTGGAGAGGGCAGCCAAATGCAAGGGTAGGGTTTGAGGGGTTTTCATGTGCTTCTCCTTTTTAGAACAGATGTCTCCCCTCTGGAGGGAGTTACAGTGTCTCTCACATGGCTGGGGGTGCGTGGATATGTTTTCTGTGTAAGTTCTCTCCTGGTCTGAGAATGAACGCTAGGATCAGCCCGGAGGCCGCTGGGTGCATAGTGCGTGCCTTGGTGGTATCGCTGGAGTCGGAAGCATGTTTGCACCTGGCCAGAAAGATCTCCTCCTCCTGAGGTTGGCTTGACACCACTCTGGGTAAGCAGAGACCTCTCTGGGGCCATTCATTCCATGTGGAGTGAGGTGGGAGGCCTGCCGCTATTTCTCTTTGTGCATACTAATTTGCCTATCACAATTTATGTGTGCGGAGTGAATTCCGGGATCATGCTGCTGACTCCCTTTCCTGCATGGCCAGACACAGGAACTAGGGGATGTGGCTGCCTACAAATGGGACAGTCTGTAGAACAGATCTTTAAACAACATATGATCTGTTTGTCTTTCCCAGTGACAGTTACCTTCTAGTTCAGGGAGCAGGTTATAGAAATTCTCCGAAAGCCAGCTGTGCCAGGCCCAGTCCGCACTGGGAGAGTGAGATCCTCGCTGGTTTGTACACCCAGACAAGGCAAGAACGTCCTGCATCTTGGGGGAATGAGGAGTGCTGGCCTTATCAGAAGGAATTTTGGGGAGCAGGCCCCTCTATTTATTGCTCTGTTCTGCGTGACTTGTAAATATCTTGTGGCAGTGAGATGGTTGCCCACCAACACCTGGCAACTGAAACCGGACCACCATAAAGAAAAAAAAAGTCTTTGGCTTTCCTAAACAGCATTGGTATTTCTCGGATTTGCTGGTCTATCATTTAGGTACTGGGAACTAAAAAGGAAGAATGGTGGTATGGGGGTGGGGGACGACGGGAGAGACCACAGTGTGTTTCTATGTAGGTTAACACTGGGGCAACTGGTTTTTAAAATTTCAGTAGGAATGGCAAAAAAGAAAAACGAAAAGAGGATCCTGAAGTCTTCTGAAGGGGAACTGTCTTAAGGTTGGATCCTTGGATAAGAGATTTTGTAATACTAGATGAGTTAAAAGAATAAATATGAATGAAAGCTAATTGGCTTTAAAAAATAAACCCATCAAAATTAGTAAGAGAAGAATGTCATTCGTGTCCTTTTTTCAGTGAGTATCAAAACACTTTTGAAGGGGCTGATTTTTCATAAGACTCAGGGTATCCCAAGAGAGGTAGGGGGCCTTTGTTTCCTTCAGCACTTTTGGATTTCCTAGAAGAATATCAGGATGGATGGAGAAGGGTCTGTTCACATCCTCAAAGCTTTAGTACTTGGAGATGTTTAGTTAAACCAGTGACTTTGCCTTTTGTGAGTGAGGTTATGGCAGAAACACTTATAAAATCAAGCCACCCTCTTCCCCCACCAAGTTGCAGATTATGTTGGTGCTCAGAAACCTTGCACTCGGAAAGCCTGAAAGCCAAAAGAAGAAAAACAGTCATTCTGGCAGAAGTCAAATTCTGCATTGCCAGTTTTGACAATGTCTCTTAATAACACCAGAATGTTGAAGCAAGTATCTGTTGCAAGCTGATTTCAAAGTGATTTCTTCCAGACAGACCCCCGAGATTTAGAATTGTTCAATTGTACTTTCAAAGTGTCTGGTGCTGATTTCTTATGGCTTTTTATTTAATTTGTTTATAAATTGAATGCAGTAACAGCTCATTAGAAACGGAGCTCCAGTCCAGCTGTAATCCGAAACAGTGATAGGCATTGATAAGTAAAGGAAGCAGAGGGGGAGCTGGAGCCTGGCTTGCTTGTTACAGTGTTGGAGGTATTGGAACATGCCACGAGACAGTCACAGGTAGAATGTAGAAAGTTCTGGTGCCTTGGCCTGCCCCGGTCCAGACAGGAGACTGACCCAGCCAAGAATAGCCCCCGAGAAAATGGCTTTAACACATGGAGGCAAGGATTTGTGGAAGAGATTTGTCTCATGAGGACTTCTCTTTATGTCTACAACAGCCAGGAATGTAGTGTTCTCAGGTCTTTGTCGCTTTTAAAACTTTAAGAAGCAGAAACATGGTTCATAGGGTGCCCTCATCGGATGCATGTTTAGGTTTCAATATAAAATGCACAGCAAAGAATGAGCGTAACATGATCCTTGCAAGAGAAGGAAAGGACATGGAAAAGTCATTCGATAGGAAGATCTGCCAGATGACCATGGACGATTACATTTGCTGGAGACATCGTGGTCATAACAGTTGGCTGAGAAAGGACTCGTGTGCATAATTTTCATTTCTAAAATGATTTAAGAGTGGTGTGATTGAGAGTGTGATGAGAGAGGTGGTTTATGTTTGCATAAGACATATATGCCTTAACAACGTTTTTCAGACCATTTGACATATTTATATTATTGGCTATTTTTGCCAATTGTGTGGCCTTAGCTATTTACATCCCATTCCCTGAAGATGATTCTAATTCAACAAATCATAACTTGGTAAGTGTCCTTAGAGTTCCTGCTTGTCCTGATGTGTGGTTATCATTTCCCTCTTTACTTAAACTGGCAGCTGGCTCTCTGGGTTTGAAGTTTACAGCTATGCATGTGATGTTTCCTGGAGCTTTGCAACAGTGGGTTTGTTTTTGTTTTTGTTTTTGTTTTTTCCTCTGACCTGTATTCTCAAATTTATACTGAATGAAAGCGTTTAAAGTCATGAATCTTGCATAAATAGATGTGGCACTTTTTTATGGAAGAGGTTTGTAGCAGATTTTAAAATAACTTTTCTCTCCACATAGGCTTTTGCTATCTACCATTCTTTTCTGGATAATATTAGCTGGTTTTTTTTTTTTTTTTTTTTTAAATCAGTGTTTATCTAGGAGTGGTGGGTATTTTGTTTGGTCAATTTCTCTGGTAAGTAGAGAATTATCATACATTTTGTACATGAACTATTCATTTTTAGAGCATCAGAATACAACAGAATGAATAGATCTACGTGGAACATAATTTGGAGATTATAGTGTAGTATTCCACTAGGAGTATCCTATGAAGATCCATTTTATCCCAAGATAAAATGATTCTAGGGTTAAATAAATTGGGATACTTCCACATACTTCACTGCCCTCTTAAAGATTTATAGTGCACATTAGCTCAGTAAGAGCTCTGGGAAGGTCTGTAGTTAAAAAACCAGTTTCATTTTGTTTAACTCAGCTAGTCCCTAAAAGTAATTGGTCATGGATTCTTCAAACAGTTTTTTGGCAGAACACATCACGGAACCAGTGTTTCATGAAACTTCCTTTGGGAAAGGTTGATATAGTTTAAAAAAAAAAAAAAGAAAGAAAGAAAGAAAAAAGAAAAAGAGCCCGAAAGAGCACCAGAGTTGGGACTAGGGGCTTGTCCCATCGAGCTGGGACGACTAGCTGTGTTTTGGGGGGCATTTCCCAAATCCTTTCTGCGTTGCCATTCACCCACTTGTCAAGGGAGCTGGATGAGAAGATCACTGGGATCGTGTTTACCTCTGACATTCTGTAATCTTTTCTTGATGATTCAGAAGCCATGTCAGGATTTTTCTGGAGCGCAGCATCCTCCTTGGGGGAGGCTGTGCAGAAAGGCAGGTGGAGCAGGGGGCCAGTGCTGGGTAACAGGGAGCTCTTTCTCTCCCTTGTTTTGCTCTCTTCTCTTTTAGCTAGATTCATTTGTTTCTGGTTTCCCACGTTGAAGCTGTATTTGAGTAGGGTGGCTGTAACTGAGTGGTGTAAAGGCAGAATTGGTGTGTGTGGGGGGGGCTCTGCTGGGTTCTGAAGATCCTGAAATTATGCTCTTGCGATTTTAGCCTCAATGGTTTACATACCGGATTTCATGTGTAACATGAAATGTTACATATTGTGTAAAATGTTGTGGCATAGGTCAGATAGGACATGATGTGTGTTCATATTTGGGCTTTTATAGTCTGATTTCTAGAGAATGTAAGAAGCTTTTGGGTATTGCTACTGAAAATATAACTCAACAGGAGTTGGATACACATATGCACGTTTGCCATTAGTGTGGATTTATACTATGCTGGAGGTGATTTGTGTGCTTTGGGATATTTTAAACAGCTTCTGATTTGGTCGTAGACACGTGATATTAGATGCTCATTTTAAAGGAAGAGCAGAAGTGGCAAAAAGCCCCCATCAATGGGGATGGATCATCAGAGTCTAGGCCACAGATGGTGTCAGCCTTGTTACCAAATTTAACAATGTGGATGGTGACCCAGTTTGTTGCTTTTTGTAGCTCAAGAGAACATGATTAAACAAACTTAGAAAATAAATACCTTTCAGAAAGGCAGATTAATTCAGATCAATGGAATAATTAATGTAGCTGCGTGTGTAAGCCAATTAATATTCTGATTTTTCCCAGGGAAATTCAGGGCACTGATATCTGCCGTCAGACCGTTTGGATTTCTCAGCTAATGAGTAAGGGAATAAAACATAGGAAATGGATAAATCTCTCTTCTCCCTTGCAATCCCTCCCTAGCGGATGCTTTCTTAAAATTCTTAAACAGTGGTATTTTAAGGGGGGGGGAGGGAGGCAGTGTATTCGTTTGGCAGGCCTTTCTAAAAACCAACATACACTCCTTTGACCTCTTACTGTTCTGAAACTCATAGCATTTGAGTTTCTGTCTTGTTTCACTTGGATGGTCACGTGGCCAGAGGAGTTTATTCTCTGCTTGACTCTTTAAATATTTCCTTTCCCACTGTGGGAAGGGAAGATCTTTGTGGATTTCCCCCTGACTCTTTGCAAGGTCCCATGGCATGTCAGTGCTCCTGCCAGGGAGCCGGGGTTTTTTTTAATACATTTGACCCATTTTGTACCAAAGTGATTGCTCTATTTTGGGGATTGGTTTAGAGGCGGCCGAACGAAGCTTATTTTTCATCTGTAGTAAATACCTTTCAGTTAACATGAATGGCAAATCGAGGGGCAGAGACCGATACGGGTTGCAAAGCTGCACGTGTCAGGGAGCTGGTGGTTTTCTTTGCTCCATAGCTCTGTGGGAAATGTGTATGTTGAACCCTTAGAGGCTGCTTTGTTGCCAAGCTGTGTCTGCCTCTTACAGGTCGTTTGTAGTGACACGATTAGTTCTATCGGGTAAGAAAGGTGGCCATCCCCATCGGGCTGATGTATGTTTGGTCTGGGTTGCTTGTAACTGAGCCAGCTTTGGGAATCTGGAGACTACCTTGGGGGCAGCAAGTTTTCCCAGGGTTAGGTTTTTTTTTTTTTTTTTTTTTTTTAAATATAAACAGTCTCAAATTTCTATGCAGTTTCATTTGTGGACTTGCAGGGACTAGTGGAGGTTGAAGCCATGGAAACGGTACGACTGAGTTCCCACAGTGAGACCCTTCTTGGCTCAGTCTATAACACTAGCTCCTCAGTTCCACTTATTGCAAGTGTATATCATTTATTTAATTTCTTCTTAGCCCAGGGTGGGGAGCAGCGGGGAGCTCTGCTTTCCAGAGCATCAAAGGGGGGCTGCTTACAATCCTGTGCTTCGCTGTGTTGAAGAATGCTCTATTTGGCTTCCCAGACTTCAGTGTCTCAGAGGTGGACGGATGCGGTTGAAGTTGTCTGTCCTGCCTGCTCCTGGTACTCCCCAGCCCCAGGCTGAGTGCCGCTCTCTGTAGTGCTCAGTCGCCTGAAATTAGAGCCATTCCACACTGGGGTGTTCATCTGCCAGTTCGGACCTCTCCTAATGTCTGCAAATGACACCAGCCCCAGAGGGCGAGGCCTGTGGCCCAGGCCTCTCTACCCCTTTATCAGGCACAGTTGCTTCTACCAGGGGCTCAAGAAATCCTCCTTTGATTCAGCAGGAGCTTTTATGGAGTCTTTGATGCCTTTCCAGCCCCCTTCCTCATCTGTTGTTGCAGCCTGTTTTTTTTCCTTTAGCCCGTTGACATTTTGCCTCTACAGAACCCCTCGCATCTTCCTCCCCATCCACACCTCTGTGGTGTGGCCAGGTCCTCCTGGGCTGTCTGAGCTGTCTGAGTCCCTCCTTCCCAGCAGTGCCCCCCCCATTTGCCCACCCATAGTTCCTAAACACTCCTTCTGTGTTCTTGCCCACCTTCTAGCCTCTTCTCTGCCTGTAGCGTCTCTTCCACTCCGGCCCTTGGAGAAATTCAGGAACCGTCTCAAACTATGTCTCTTCCAGGAGGGCTTTTCCCACCCTGATCCGAAGGAAAGCTCTTATCCAAACCTCTCTCGTGACCCTTCCCGTACAAAATACCCTATGTTTTAGTTCCTCATATGCATGTCTTATCTCGATCTTACCAAGCATCTTCAGAATACAATTCTTAGTGAATTATTTTGGAATCACCAGGGGGTACGAAGTAGCAGTTCAGTAAACACATGTTGTTGCCGTGACTGCCAGGAGAAGAGCCTCACCCCTTCTTTCCTCTGGGCTATATTCGGGATTTCCTTGGGTGACAGGTCCCTCTGTGGACTCCTTGGAGGTCTTTAGCTGGGAGCTGGTGGGACATTGTAAGCGCTTGTTCCTGAAAAGCTTCGGGTCTTGTGACTCTGCTTCTCGAGCTCCTCTGGCTGAAGGAGCCCTGGGAGCCAGGTGTCAGAGCTGAGCCATCTAGCACATTTTGTGCTCAGAGTCGCCGAGGGGTGTGAGTGCCTCTTGGCAGTGGGACCATTGTAAGGTGCCTTACAATGCCCAGGAATGTTATGGGACAGAGTACTCTGCTTGCCGTCTCTCTTCCACGGCTGAGATCCCAATGCAAGGTGTTTCCTGGGCTTGCAAAGTGAGCTCATTGGATCTGCGCGGTCCTATAGTTTAGCATCTCACAGTTTTTGCACATAGGGGGACTTACCGAAACACGGTTTCATAACTTGGTTCGTTGGGCTTAGCCTATAAGGTGGGTTTTAGTCCCGTACCTTCCGCACACTGTGTCTTTGCTCTGTTGTCTTTCTGTTTGAACTGTGCGCTCGTATTTCTGTCCGACTAGATTCTGTCTGTTCTAGGACACAGCTCCTGTGCTGCTTCCTCAGCTCAGCCTCCCCTGAGCCTCATCCACTCCTGCCTCCCACCCCACCTGCCTGAGTTTAAGTACTGGTTTTCCCTCTGCCCTCCTGTAAGCACGGTAAACTCTCTTCTTTATGTTCATTTGCCCCTTTCCACCTCTTTTTATAACTGCTACCGGGAGTGGTTTGGTGGGTGGTGGTTCTGCACATGCGCTCTGGAGTCTTTGGCTCATTAGCTGAGTGACTTCGGATGAAACCAGTGTATGAGTTCCTGGAGACAGAGGCTGGTGTCTGATTAGTCTAGTTCCCAGTGCTGGGAACTAACCCTGTGCCTGGCGCACAGTAGGCACCAGGAAATGGGTGCGGAATAAGGGAATAAATACATGGATGGCTGTACAGGGGCTTCACGGTATGTCCTTATGGATCAGTAGTTAATTTTCAACAATTGGCTAATGATTAATATTTGCCTGAGAGGCTGACTTTTGTTGTCTGATATTAAT